TGTACAGATATACCCGCTGCAAGAAAATGCAATAACTATTTGTTTGCCACAGCTTTGGGTAGGGCGAATGCCTTAGATGATAAAGGACGAAATGAGAAGAAATGAATTACGACATTGATAATAGTGCTGGTGATAATGGAAAATGTAATGGTGTTGGCGATGGTGATAAATAAAGGTAACTATTAATGTTATTTTTGATAATAGTAATGATGATCCTATTACTACTACTAGTAACGGTAACAATGATACTATTACATCATCGCGATGATTCAGATAATGACACTGATAGCTATGGTGATGATGATGATGACAAAAATAATGATAATATAAAAAAAAAAATGAAAAAAAATACAACAAAAAATAATCATTACGATAATGACAGTGATAACAATAACCGCATACAATGACTGAAAATGACAAACAACGGGAAGATGCCCATGCAGCGATGCCAAACGTCACAAGACAAAGAAATTCTCAAGCCAAAACATGGAGGTCTAACTTACACGAAGGCAAAAAAGACCGCGAAAAAGGGATAAAGTAAGATGCATAGAATAATAATAAAAAAGGGAATCGTGGTGGTTATCGTCAGGCAAAAATCACGATACTTTTTTTGTAAAAAGAAAAAGGGGATTTTCTCAAAACATATAAATGTTGATTATGTATTTCCTGTATGGGAGAATTACATGTAGTTTGAAATTGATTGTCCGACACCGAAGTGGACTGGTTGGATGCTGCAATATGAATGCAAATAGTGGTATTTTATGAGTTTTAGTTTAAAGTATATATGAATATAAATATATTAAATATGAATATATATATATATATATATATATATATATATATATATATATATATATATATATGTATGTATATATTATATATATATATATATAATATATATATATATATATATATATATATATATATATATATATATATATATATATATATATATATATATATACATATATATATGTATATATATACGTATATGTATGTATATACATGTATAAGTACATGTATATGTATGTATATACATGTATATACATACATATATATATATATATATATATATATATATATATATATATATATATATATATATATATATGTATATATATATATATATATATATATATATATATATATATATATATATATATATATATGTATATATATATATATATATATATATATATATATATATATATATATATATATATATATATATATATACATATATATATACATGCATATATATATACATGTATATATATACACATGTATATATATACACATGTACATATATATGCATGTATATATATATACATATGTATATATATATATATATATATATATATATATATATATATATATATATATATATATATATATATATATATGTATATATATATATATATATATATATATATATATATATATATATATATATATATATATATATACATACATACATATATACATATATATATATATATATATATACATATATATATATATATATATATATATATATATATATATATATATATATATATATATATATATAAATATATATATATATATATATATATATATATATATATATATATATATATACATATAAATATATATATATATATATATATATATATATATATATATATATATATATATATATATATATATATATATATATGTATATATATGTATATATATGTATATATATGTATATATATATATATATATATATATATATATATATATATATATATATATATATATATATATATATATATATATATATATATATACATATATATATATGCATACACACACACATATACACACACATACACACACACATGTGGGTGCATGCGTGCCTTTTTGTGTGTGTGTGTGTGTGTGTGTGTGTGTGTGTGTGTGTGTGTGTGTGTGTGTGTGTGTGTGTGTGTGTGTGTGTGTGTGTGTGTGTGTGTGTGAGAGAGAATGTGTGTGTGTGGGTGAGTGCATGTGTTTGTGTGTGTATGAAGATGAGCAAAGGATATAAGCAGAAATGGTAATGAACGAACCAAGAAATGCAGACAAATGGGTCAGACAATCGAAAGGTGGAGGGAAGGCAGGCAGACTCTGAACTACGGGTCAAGGGGAGGTCATGGGCTCAGGTCGAGAGGTCACACTCGATTGACCAACGTGTCGTCCTTGCGTATCTCTGTCCTCTGATAATTTCCTCATAAAATCAGTCATGACCAAAATTTACATCATCTTAGTGTTCACGATCTTAAATAAATAAATATAGAAGGAAACTCCCGCCAGAGGTAGCGATACACAAAAACAACCAATCACAGTCATGCTGAGCTCTCGTCGACCGTTAAGTCTCGACCAATCACAAAGCTTACTCACATTTCAACCCTTTCCACTTTAATGCCCCAGTTCTCTGTGGCATCATCTAACACTCCCTGCAATGACGAATGGGGTAGCTTGTGTCAATCCGAAAAGA